TGGCTGCCATTCCTCGCCCTATTTCAGTGCTGACGCTTTGTCCTTGCAGAGTTTCCTTCCTGAAGAAGGCAGTGGACCAGAAGAACCGAGCCCTGGCCAGCCTGAACCAGGTGATGAATGTGAGCGCAGCTTTGCTGTCCAGCCAAGAAGGGCAGAAGCCCATTGCTTGCACTGTCACTGCCAACTGGAGCTGCCTCCTGCTCCAAGACACCGTCACCATCTCCTGTTTGCTGGAGAACTGCAGCGAGTACAGCCTGGAGGAGGGCTGGACCCTCTGTGTCCAGCTCCTGGCCAGCCCCTGTGCCTTAGAGGAGGAGTCTGTGGATTCGGCCACCACCTTCACCTTCCCCATTGACCAGCTCCTCCCCGGGAACAAGAGAGAGCTGACGCTGCCCCTCGGCTCCGCTGCAAAAAAAAAGCTGCAGACACCAAGCTGGACCTGCCTCTGACCATCTCCTGTGCCCTCTACTACAGTTTACGGGATATTTTGGGCAGCGGCTCTGACTCCTCTGAGGCCCTGGACGACCTCCTGCCGGATGACTCACCCATCCTCTCCCCGGACAGAGAGGGGATCTGCCTGCCCCTCAGCGAATGCACCATTGACATGCTCCAGTGCCTCCGTTTCGAGAGCAGCCCCCCTGGGCCAGATGCCTCCTCGCAGGCAGCTGCCCCCCCTGCGCCCCCAAACCCTGTGGAGACCTTCCTCAAAGTATCCCGGGAGCAGGCTGAACCCGAGGGGGTGAAAGCTGGCGAGCTGCCGCATGCCCCGGGAGAGGGAGACCTGCCCCCCTCGGCGGCATCCATCAGGGTATCCTCGGAGCTGCTGAAAAACGCACTGAAAACCTCCGGCTCAGGTGGGTCCCTGGAGAGGAGCATCCCAGGGGCTGCTGGGGTATCTCCTTGGGAGCGGGGCTTGCGTCCCGGCTTGTGGACATCCCAGGAGAGGCCGGGATGGCACTGTCACAGCTCATGCGCACACCTTAGGCGAGGAGGGCTGCGTGACCCCACGCAGTCACCAGCCCAGCGTGTGTCTGCTCGTGGGCTGGCACACGGATGCGATGGCAGTTGCGTCACCCAGCTCGGCTTGTCTCAGCAGGGAGGGGAACGGTCCCAGTGTCAGGGAACGGTCCCAGTGTCAGCCCTGACCTCGCAGGGGCCGCACCAGGCACACGCCGCTCTGGCCTGAGCGGGGCTGCTGAGCCGCAGGGAGGGCGTTCATCGGCGTAACAAGCTCTGCTTTCTCTCCTTTTGTCCCCAGATGTCCCGCTGAGCTGTGCCACGCTGCGCTGGCTGCTGGCTGAGAACGCCGGGGCTGAGGCACTGAGCAGCGGGGAAGTGGCATCGGTGCGTGGTGCAGCGCCGGACGGAGGCGAAGTGCAGCTGCTTGTCCGAGAGGCAAGGAATGGGTTAGCCCTGCAGAGAAACTCCCTGTGCCCCCATCCCACGAAGCCGTGTCTGTCCCGCAGCCCCTCGCTCATGCCAGGGAGCTGGGTGATGTATGGCCTTGCTGTGCTGACCCCAGGCCATCGTCTGCACGTCCAGACGCCTGGGAGCCTGCTGGCTGCGATGCTGTGGGGCTGGGGCTTGTGTGCTGGGCTGGGGGGGCTGTGCCTTCTCCCAACCCAGGACTTCCCAAAGGCAGTGGCCAATTCCCTCCCTCTCCTGATGGGTATGCATCCCCCAGATGTTCTCACTTCCCTGCCAGGCAGAGCAGCAGGGTGCTGCTGCGTCCCTGCACGGCAAACCAGCCTTTTGAGGACCAAGGCAGATGCCCCCTCCCCTCCCAGCAGCCCTTCGCTGGCCCGCAGGAGCCCTGCAGGCCCTCTTTGCCACGGTCTTTCCACTGGAGCGGGGTGGCTCCTGCTCCTGGCCATTTCTCACCCACCCTGCCGCAGTAGCCTCGGAT